GCAAAGGCGACTGCCTGGCCGGTCCAGGACCTCTCTGCAGCACCGTCTGGACGAAGCGCCCGTTGGGCGGCGTGACCGGCATTGGCGGCCTTCCGAACTGTGGCAGAGGACCGGCGGGGCCCACATAAGGCCGCTGATGGGGTAGTGGGGCGGTCTTGCACTGGAATGAGCCGACTGACGGGGGAGGAGGGGGTGGAACTGGGAACATGGTGCAAAAACACGGCAAAAGACTCTGCAGCTCCCGCAATTAGCAGGTACAAGGGCGAGAGGCGATGATTCTTCTCGCTCGAAACGATTCTTCTCGCGAAAAGGCGACTTGGGGGCAAGGCGATCGCCCCCTTGCGAGCTTAGTTCCAGAAGATCCTGCAAAGCATGCGAGTGGATCTATCGGTGGCAGCTGCTATCAGCGCGGCACCACTTCCTCATCCCATATCCTTCCTCCCCCTGCCACCTCTCTCGCCTCGGTTCCGCAGATCTGCGCCACTCGTTGTCCGTCCTTCCCGTCGCTCAGAAGATCCAGATGTGCTGCAGGAGTGGCCAAGAGGCGACTTTGATGGGCCGAGAGAGGGTAGATCTGCCGATGCGGCACGTGACTGGCCGAGGAGCAGCTCGACAGGGCGGCAAAGGCGCAGGAGCGATGATACAACTATTGCGACAGGGAGGGGCGAGCAGGAGAGGCTGAAGCGCTACACGGCCAGAAGGAAGCAGAGGGGCAAGAAGGCGTATGCAAGCGAGGGAGAGCGGCTGAAGTCACTGTTCTTCAGCAACCTCAAGACGGTGGGCAGCACAGCACAGCCAATTGAGGTATACATTCCAATCACTCTGTCTCTCGCATCACCCACTCACTCATTCGGCATCAATTGCTCTGCTCCACTGTATGCAATGCAGGCAATGGCCCGGAAGTCACTGGGTCCTCGCATCATCCTGAAGCACGTTGACGACATCCTGAAGCTCTCGGATGCGTCCCTTTCGGCCAAGGACTTCACGGTGTTGATGAAGGCGTGTGAGGCGGCAGGCAGGGGCGACAGGGTGGTGTCACTGCTGGACGAGATGGATGCCAGGGGTGTCCAGAGAGATGCCATCGTGAGCAACGCCGCTGCACGCATCTTGTCGACGGCCAACTGTGCAAAGGAGGCCGGGAGGGTCATGGACGTAAGTAAAGTGGAATGGGTGGACTGACTTTGTATGTGTGTGTGTGTGTGTGTGTGTGTGTGTACCTGGGCAGCGTATGCGTGAGGACAGCGTCGCCAAGCTCCCCTCTGCATACAGCCATCTGTTCAAGGCTGCGCAGACCGGCAGACAGGCGGTGAGTGACTTAGTGACTTAGTCAGGGGATCTCTGTTTTTTCTTCATTCCTTTGTCTGTCTGCTGCTTCTTTCAGCGGCAGGTGTTGGATTTGATGGCTTCAGAGGGCGTGCATCTAGATGTGTTCTCCTACACCGCTGCAATCAGCGCATGCGCGCACACCAAGGACGTACGTTACGTCAGCCAATGAGACAGACAGGCTCCCTGCAACGAAGTGTCTGGCTGCATGTGTCTTCCTTTCTGCCCCTTTCCAGGTGAGCACGGCCCTCGATCTGCTTGGAGAGATGGAATCAAAGGGCATGCCGCCATCGGCTGCCACGTGCACAGCTGCTCTCAGCGTGTGTGCGAGAGCCGGCCAGTGGCAGGAAGCCATTCATCTGCTCCACCGCTTCCAGGATACGGCCGACGTCCGCACCTACACCGCTGCCATTTCCGCGTGTGGCATCGCGGGGCAGTGGGAGGTAACTGAGACGAGCGTGGCCATTCCCTCCATCCATGTTCATTCAGGGTGCATCCATCGCGTATGTGGGGTGTGTGTTTGGTGCAGGAGGCCCTGAATCTGATGGATGACATGCGCGACGAAGGCGTTGCTCCCAACGTGTGGACGTACACAGAGGCAATGAGGGCGTGCATCAAGGGAGGTGTGGCAGAGGAGGCCATCCAGCTCTTCGACAAGATGACAAACCAGAAACAGGCGAGAGCAAATGGTCTTCCCACCGGAAGTGTAAGTGTGTCGTGTCCGCTACTATCCATCAGAATGAGCCGAGCACGATATGCTACAGTGTAGCGCTGCGTGCCTGTGAGCAGGCCAAGGCAACCAACAAGGCCAGGGATATCTTCAAGGTGAGCGAGACAATCACGCAAGGGAGAGAGAGATATCACGAGCACGTGTCTATGGGGTTTCGTCTGTCAGCGGTTGAGTCGTTCGCAAGTCGAGGAGCTGCCTCCGAAGGTGCGGTCGTGGCTGCTGGCCCTTGTGGAGAAAGATGAGCGGCGCGACATGAAAGTCGTGTACGAGAGGGGTGTGGAGCACGTGTGACGGACAAGACGCGGGAGGAGAGTGGCGATTAGGGGGGTGAGTGATGGATAGGGGATTTGGTGAGAGTGAGAGTGAGAGGATTGTGATGCAGTGGGGCACCATTTGTGTGACATGCGGGTGTGATGAGAATGACATATTGATATTGATTGCGCAGGGGATGTTCGGTTCATCGATGCATCCAGATGTAGCTAATATGCATATATGTACACGGCTTCAAGCAGACAAACAAGCGACACTCACACGCGTCGTCCAAGATACAGCCAGCGCACAAGCTAACATCACATCAAGCAACTCATCATCAAAGAAAAGCCTATGGTGTCCGCTTGCACAGTGACTTGATCCACTAACGAACACACACAGACACAGAGCACCTTCCACATGGTGAAAGCCATAACCCCTGTCGCCCTGTCGTGTGTACCGTGCATGAGTACAATGCCCAAGAAGCCAACAATCCGCACCTCGCTTTCGACTGCGGCAACGTCGCTCGTGGCCGCTGCGGCCTCACCTCTGCTGTCCAGAACTGGCGGGCAGCAGCACCATTGTCCCAATACAAGCATGCATACGTCTGAAGTGGCGCTGTCGAGCATGCCTCCTCGTCACATAGGAAGACGTGCCACAACGTGCCGCTCGACTGCACCCTTGGCACCACGAAGCGGCGGCTGTCGACGGGCGGTGGCCCGAAGGCCAGCTTGCTGATGCGGCACGCATCCTCGCGGGTCACCAGATGGTCAGGGGACGTCAGATCGGTCGGGAGCGACCTGCGAGCATCAAACACATACCGGGAGTGAATTGACAGGCATGGGTGGATGGAGGTGTGTGTGTGGATGGTGATGCTGGTTCTCGCCCTGCCTTACTGGTCGATGACTGCATCTCGGAACGACGAATACATCTCCACAATCCCATCGATATGTTGTGTCGACACATCGCAGGCAGGCTCCGTCACGTCATACGAAGCGCGGAAGCGGAATCTGTCGCGCGCGTGAATCACCAGCCTCTTCTGGCCGAGCATGCCCCGCCCCTCCTCATCCAGAGGCGTCAGCAGCAGCAGGCAGCCGGCAGGTCCCCGCACCTTGTGGCCAAACAGCATGTACTGCCGCAGGCTCTCCGGCTGCCGACGGAAGATGGCCTTGGAGGGCAATTTGCGCAGGTCTGCGGGCGTGATGGTGATGGGAAAGGCCTCGGTGAGAGCGCCCAGCTGCTGCATCACGCGGAGCCGCCAGATCCATCCCTCCCAGTCGCCGCTCTCCTCCAGCACACACAGGAGCCCCAGCAGATAGCTGACGTGACTCATTTCACAGCGGCCGACGCCGACAAGCGCCAAGACGCCCTCCAAACGCGTCAATCTGGATGGCTGTCGCTTGATGGCGAAGATGTCGGTGAGGCCGCTGCTTGCGAGCCATCGGTTGATGCGTCGCATCAGGAAGGCCACACAGATGAGATCCCTGCCCAGCCGATATGAGCAGCGATAAGCGGAGCAGTCAGATGCCGGCAGCATTCCGCACACGGCCGTGTGGATCTCACGCGGGAGCCAATACGGGCTCTTCGCATCCATCGTGGTCGTTCTCGAAGGGCCTTCTCCATCGGCCTCACCATTGCGCCGATTTCACGGAACTTCTGCGAGCTCTCGTCTGCTGCTTTCGGGATTTGCTGATGGGGGGTGTTGTTGTGTCATTTGTACTCATTTATTCATGCATCATCGGCCGTGTTCATTCGTACACAACCGGGTGGCCTGAAGGTATGGTGGGCGGGAGAGAGGGCGGGAGAGAGGGCGGGAGAGAGAGGAGCACACATCTGCCCGCCTGCCTTCAGCACCACTGTCTGCCTGCCTGCCTGCCTGCCTGCGCTCCTTCAGATGTGGAGTGCGCCCCCGACGGCAACCGCGCGAGTCAGATCACTGCACACCCACACAAGCACATTATCTGCCACAATGTAGATCTGCCGACAATGTGGGATGGTCTGTGTGTTGGTTTGTTGGCTGCAGACGTCTGCTTCCAGCCAGGCAAGGCGACAGTCCCGCCTCCGCGAGAGAATGCCAGGTGAGTGGGAGAGAGAGAGATGATCTACATCTCATCTTTCCCTCTCCCTCTGCAGTTGCTACGAGTGGGACTACAACATCCCCGACAACAACATCAGCGAGCCCATCACCGTCAGCGCCATTGGCGTCACCGACAACGTGTTTGAGATCTCGAGCGTCGCTGTTGACGTCAATGCGCTGGGCCACATGGTGGCACGACCGTAGTACGAACACAGACAGGCCGACGAGTGACAAACCACCCCGTTCCGGTTCTTTCATTGCTCCAGCGACTGTCAGAGGGGCTGCCAGGTTTATGACCGGTGCAACGCGTGGACATTCACCAGGCGCGGCGGGTGCTTCTTGAAGTCATCGGACGAGGGCAAGGTGTATCAGCCAGAGGAAAAGACCGAGAGCGGTATCGAGAACTGGTATGTGTCGGGCGCCAAGTACTCAATGGACTGCACCCCGCAAGGTATGAATGGCGAGTGCACACACACACGCGATATGGCCCTCTGTGGTGGTGTGCCTTTCCCTGTTGGCTCAGGTGCATTGGTGAGCCCCTGCTATGAGTATAACGTGAGCGTTGGCCCCCAAAGAGGAGCCGGACATTCCCTCTGTCAAGGCGTGTGTCCATTGTGTGTGTGCAGATGATGTGTCTGTTTCCGAACAGCCGCCACCACTACCAGGAGGGGGGCGAGGATCTCACCGTGGAGGAGTGCCATAATCTATGCCGCGAAATACCTGCCTGCATGGCATTCACACATTTCGACCGGTTTCCCCGCAACGGACAAATCGTGAGGAACGTCTGCAGGATATGCGGGCAGAAGGATCGCAAGATATGCGCCCCAGGGGCAGTCATGGTAAGCAATACCCAGACATCCACACGTGTGTAATGATGCTCTCTGTCTGGGCGTCTACTTTTCCCCTTCAACCGTAGGGATGGGTTGAGGTACGGTTGAATGGGGAAAATGGATACTATGACACAGAATGTCATCGTTACATGTGGGTGTCTGTCTGTCTGTGTGTGTGACACAGGGCCACGACTGTGGTCCAGTCCCCGGTACCACGTGGCCGCCCCCGCCTGTCCCCCCTCTCAATCGCGACGGCCTGCACAACATGCCCGCTGACCCGTCTCTCTATTGGGGGCTGCCCTCAGAGCCGAATGCATTGGCCACAGGCAAGAAAGGGACAGCGGAGGAGCGTTCATTCCAACGGGGAGACATCGGTGTGCCGCCGTTTCTGACCAAGCCCCTCGATTACTCCGTGCGTGCCAACGATGAGGTTCGTGTGGGGATTGCAAACTGCGGATGCTATCAATTCGGCGTACAGCCCGACCCTGAAACGTCCACTGTAGTCGCCAACATCGACCTGTGAGCACACACATAAAGAGGTACATGCCATGCGATGTGTCTTCATTTCTTCCGTCGTGACTTATTAGGCTGACCTATCCCCCGGCCAGCTGCCAGGAACTGGTAAGGGGATCGGCACACGTCCGCCCGTCCGTCCATGTGCACAACGCTCCCTCCCTGGCTTGGTGTTGTTCAGTGCGTTGAGGATCCGGAGTGCGAGGCGTTCTCGTCAACAGACTACAAGTGCCTCCTTTGGAAGAATGTGACTGAGTGGCGGCTCGATCAGGTGGGTCCATAGGCTGGCAACACTTGTCGAGCAGCCTTCCATCCTTGGATGCTTGTATGCCTGCAGGTGGAGCCGATTATGATCTCAGGACCGCGGCTGTGTCCTACAACGCTCATTGGTATACACGCCCGCCAACGCATCTCTGTGCAGATATATGACTCGATCGGCGTCGTGTGTGGCTTCGTGTGTGCAGAGCAGGGCTACGCGTGCAGTCTGGACCACTACAGAGCGAAATTCTCGTCGCTGTCGCTGCTCATGCTGCGAATCCCAAAGATGTCGATGCCCTATGGCGAGAGCTGCCCCACACAGGCACGCGGCGCACACCCCTTTGTGTGCCCGTCGAGAAAACCTCTTTGATCCACCCTCTGTGTGTGCAGATCAACCCTTATGTGTTTGTCTTCATCATGGCGGCGTGTCTGCTGGTTTTCATGGCGTATGGCTACGCCCGTCACACTCGGAGGCGTCATCCCAGCACGGTGGTGTGGCGCGTGGTCATGGCGGCACTCGCTGCAGTCGGCACTATCGCACACGGTGAGTCAGCCAGGCAGGCAGGCATACGAAGGGCTACAGGGTGGATCGTTATGCGTCTTCTCTCTCTTTCTGCAGTTGCATTTGTGGTCTCCTTGTTCCGTGGCAATTACATTGGCATACTCTTCTGGGTCGCATGTGGCCATTTCCTTGCCGTAAGTGACGAACAGTAGTACAGCGAGCTGTTCAGATCAATATTGATGGTACGCGATCAGATGGTGTTGTTCAACGAGGTTATTGTGGTCATCTACAATGTGTTCTGGGTAAGTGGCTCGGCGGGCGACACAGACAAAGAGACACACGAAGACTAGGCAACGGACGCCTCCTCTCTCTCTCTCTCTCTGTGTGTGTGTGTGTGTGTGTAGGTGACGAGCCACCCATCCTACGCCCAGACCTTCTCCCGACTCAGAATCCGGCGGGCTTTAACGCGAGACAAGACCAAGCTCTCCGACAGCACCACCATAGCCACCACCCAGCCTGACCAGCAGCTGAACCAGCCCCCAATGGCCAGGAAGAGTGTTAGCTTCGTCGACCATCTCGCCGAGCCGCCAAATATTGACGACACAGAAGGAGGAGATCTCGAGTCCAACAAGACCGCCAATGACGACATAGCGTCCTTCTGTCCGTCATTCGATTTCAGCGCCCTCTCATCTGACGCCGTCTTCGGGCCGTGGGACACCCAAGTCGGCAAGCACGCCGGCGACCTGGCCCTGCCGGAAGAGGTCACCGAATCAGCCCCGCCTGAGATCGACTCCTCCCCCACCACCGCCAGCAGGAAGCTGACCGAGGTCGCCACCCCGCTCGGCGCGCAAGCGGCAGACGTGCCGCTCGTGGCGGAGTCGTGTCCTCCGACATTCACACATGAGCCTGAGGCCGAGGCCGCCAAGACCATACCCTCAGAGAACACCGGCCACACGAGCGTGGAAGTGGCGCGGCTCATCAACAACAACACCGATCGCGACGAGACGGACGGCTCCGGTGGCAGCGGCGCTGAAACCGGTCTGATTTTCGTGCTCTTCTGCAGTTTCTTCAGCATCGGGGTGCTCCATCTGTGCTGGTCGAAGCTCGGCAACAAGTCCTTCTTCAACATCGGAGTCAAGCCCGAAGCGTTTCTGTCGCTCGAGCTACTGGCACTGGTCGGCTATGTCCCTATGCTCTTACTGCAGGTCAGACGATGCAGAGAACGCACAAATCCCGTCATCCATCCATCCATCCATCCACCTGTTGCCTTCTCTTTCTCCTTTAGCTTCTGACGGTGTTTATGAGCGGCGGCGATGGTGAGGTGGCTGATGCGGTTCCCGCCGCGACCATGGCGGCCGTTTTGCTGGCGGTCGTCAACATTGCGGGGGTGCTGATACGCTTCGTGCGGGGGCGGTGCGGCAATCGTGCGTGAGCATGAACATGACCATGCCGACCGACCGACGTGAGTGAGTGAGTGCAGATAGTCTCTGTTGCGTTACGTGCATTCACGAGTGTGGGACTTTTTTTACGACACGGGGGCATCGTATGGCAGACGGACTGGTGTGTTTTGCTGAGAGTGTGAGAATGTGAGAGTTGAGTTTTACAGCTCTTCCTGCCTGCCTGCCTTTGTCTCCCCTCTGTGTGGCGTTGGTTTGCTTCCGGTTTTATATTCATGTTGTCGTTGTCGTTGCCCCATTTGTCCATCCATCAGCCTTGTTGATCCCTCCTTTGTTGGTTGGCCGTGTGTGTGGTGTCTGTCGATGTGTGTTGTGTGTTGTGTGAGTGTGTGTCTGTGTCTGTGTGTGTGTGATTTGCACGTTTTGGAATGCTACCTACTCATGAGTGGGGTGGGGCTCGCACGACTACGTATATGCGGTCTGAGTTTTTGAGGGCGACGGCTGCACGTCTAAGTGTATCTCATTGCAACCCCCTGCCTTGCTGCTGCACGGAGGAATGGTCATGATGGTGCTTCATCTGTGTTGTCTTTTCATTTGGGTGCTCGGGTGGATGTGCCGGCCATGCGGCTGTGTCGTCGGCACATACGGTTCGCTTCCTGGAGGCCGGGTACCATGTGTGTTTACATGGTACACGGCATACGCACGTATTGCTACGCCAGTCTCGGTACGTTCGTGTGGATGTCTTATATATCGCGTTCATGGCTCCCGCTGTGCCCGCCTGCCTGTCTGGTGACGCTGTCCGCTGTGTGTGTGCGTGTGTTCCTCTTCGTGTTGGGGTTGGGCTGTTGGGGAGCATTGTGTGCGTGCACGTTGTTGCGTTGTGTTGGGTGCCATGTAGCTGCGGGTACGGCGGCAGTGTCGTTCGGATAAAGGGGATAGATAGACGGGCGACAGAACAGGGAGGGCAGGCCTAGCAGCAGCAGCAGGAGGGCGGGCAGGGGAGGCGAATGCTGCATGACGACAATGCATTGATTCTGACAACGACTCGTTAACGTGGGAGGCGATGACATGCAGCACTGTCCGTTTGTCTGTCTGTCTGTCAGCGTGCGTTTCTCTTTTCTTACATGAGTGCGTGGGTGTTCATCCTTCGCAGTGACGAAGGGCAGTGGGTGGGCGGTTGGGGTGGCTGGGTGTTAACAGGTTGCTGGGTGGCTGGGTGTAGTGCTTGGTCGCGGCCCCCTCGGTTCTCTCCCTTCTCTCGTTGCTTCTCGATTGCGATGCGTAAGTGTGTCCGTCCGTCGGTGTGTTCACTATGTTCACTATCTCGTTGTATGTCTGTCTGTTTCTCACTCTCTCTCTCTCTCTCTCTCTCGCTGCGTCTTCTGAGTCAAGTTCTGACTGGTCTCCTAACGGGCTCTCTCTTGAGAACACAAAGACGAGCGAGCAAGTAGCGCATCGGATCTGTCGGTCTGTCTGTCTGTCAGTCTGTCTGTCTGTCAGTCTGTCTGTCTGCCTGTCTGTCTGTCGCCTGTGAGCACTTGTTTCTCTCGGTCTGTTGTGTGTGTGGCTGTATACATGCTACAAGCCTGTCCGTCTTGCATGGCTGCCTGCCTCTCGCTCTCTTTGTCTGCCTGCCTGGCTGCCTGCCTGTGTTGTTCTTCTTCTCTCTGTCCTGTCCTTCTCTCTGGGTGGGGTGGGTGTTCGTCTGTCTGACTTCTACGGATGGATCAGTCCCATTCACATGGTGGGTGGATGCATCCGTGTCGTGCGTGCGTTGGTTGGTGGTGCGTACCTTAAGGCTACAGCGCGTTCCCTGTAGAGTTGTAGAGGATTCTCTTGAGGGACAGGGGGTCCCCTCTTGATCCGTAGTTGATCTATGCCGTTGGGTCGCAGTCGCTTGCGTGGCGCGCTGTGGCCTGGTTTGACTTCGTGCTGTCAGTCAGAGTGGGGTGGATCAGTCACATGGATCCAGATGCAAGCAGTCCTTTAACGCTGTTCATGCTGCAGGCGCATGGACAGATGAGTGAGTTTTTCGATCGGCCATGCATTGCAATGCATTGCTGACATACATGTGTGATTGATGTTCATACCGTGCGAACGAACGCTTGCTTGTTGTGGGTGTCCCGTCCCGTCCCGTCCCGTCCATGTGGTTCTATGAGGCTTGCCTGTTGTATGTATGTGTGTGGTGTGGTGTGGTGTGGTGTTTGTGGCATTTTATGGATGTGCGGGCTTGTGAACTTCTGTATGTTGAGGTCTCCTGACTCAAGGCATCCTAAGGTTGGTTGAATCCCCTGTCTGATCCGTAGTTGATCTATGCTGTGGGCCGCAGTCGCTTGGATGCTGTCTGTGTAGTGAGTGATGCGGCTTCGCTTCATGCTGTCGTGTGCGTATAAGTGTATTGTCTCGCGTGTTGTGGGCCGTGTGCGTGCGTCTGTGTGATCTGGGCGACGCAGCCCTGCCTTCGTACGGTGGGAGAGGGACAGAATTGCTTGGGGCTCGAACATGAAGTCGGTTTCCAACGGCTGGACGCATGGTCATTAACACACTTGCTGTAGTGTGAGGACTATACATGTGTGGACGAGTCAGTGAGATCTGCGCGAACGAATTGAGTAACCAGCAATGGTCCTAGCTTGCGCGATCCAAAAGAAGACTTGTGTGTCTCATCCATAGGAAGCCCTTTGGCTGTCCATCTTCAGCCAGCCTCCCGTCACACATGCTTATTGCCCACAGTGTTGCTACTCAAAAACAACAGCAACGCAACCATCGATATCAGTCAGTCATCACAACCACACAACGCTGTAAGGCTCAGCCACATCGAGGTCCACCTTCACCTCGCCCTCCCAATCCACCACCACACGGCCCTTCTCATCAGCGGAAAACGTCTCGCCTTTCCCCTCCCTCACCCCCTCCCCCTCTCTCTCCAGCGCAACAATCACCTTACCCTTCGGCAACGCCTTCATCACACTCGCTGCAGCTGCTGCTGTGTCCCGTGTCGCATTAGTTGCATTGCTGTCCACCCGTACTTCCGCCAAAGCTAGTTTCGCGTTCAGCCGGCTAATTTCGGCTTTTTGTTGCTGTGTGGTGTGGGCGGCGTCGCTGGCCTGCTCTTCGGCCAGCACCAGTCTTGCGCTCAGCCGGCTTATCTCGGCTCTCTGGTCGCTGACTTTGCGACTGAATCGGTGCATGGCTTCGTCCAGGGCACGTTGATGGGCTGCACAGACGTCCGTGAGGTTCTCTTCGCCGACGGCAGCTGCCTTTTCAGTGCCTTGATGCCGCAGCGGCAAAGATACGTCATCTGTATCTGCTTCAGCAACTGTAGACAAAGCCTGCAGGCATAAGCACAGAGTGACGGGACGCACGTGTGGGAGGGAGTAGGACGTCGTTACCTCTATCTGGCCCCTGAGATAGCCGCACCCCGATTCAGTCTGCACACACACAGAGAAGACGCAGTCAACTGGCATCCGTGTCTTCTGTGCTGTTCCCCTCGATCTCCTGTGCTGTACGTACCTGATGTCGCAGCCTTTCCGCCAACTTGTTGGCCTCCTCCAACCTGCAGACAGACAAACCAGCCAGCAATACGACACGCAGACAGACTGCAGGCACCCGTTCCACCCCCCTCACTTGAACAGTGCCATGTTCCACTTCTCCTTGACCGTCTCAATGTCGTCCTCTTCCTCACTCTCAGCAGCCTCCGACTGCCCTCCCTCGCTGCCCCCGATCGACAGCGACGCCCGCGACATGCGTGGCGTCATGAAGTCCGCCTGCGTCCCCGCGTCCTCGGTGGGGCGGAAGGGCAGGGTGGGGCTCTGCTTGAGGGTGCGCACTGGTTCCACCTGAGCCATCATCTCCCTGTCCCCAGATGGCACGGCCGTCCATCTGCCGGTGCCTGCCGTCTGTTGGCGGATGAAGGGCACATGCTGCGCAATCGAGATGTCTTCCTGCCGTCGGCGGCCGGCTGCTACCGGTGACTCCTCTTTCTCCTACAACAGGTGAGAGCAAATGCGCTCCCGACTGATGTGATACCCACGTGGGAACAAAAGCATGGATTGCATGCCATGCTCGTACCGGTTCGGCAGCAAACCTGACGGTCATGCTGCGGTTGAGCCTCAGTTTGTCCTTTCCCCCAGGAGTCTCGTCACCGAAGAGGTCGTCGACTTTGATCGTCATCTGATCACACGTGTACGAAGAGGGCAGATGGTCGTTCACTCCTGCAAGTGCGTGTCCCCGTGCTGTACAAACATACCTGCCGGTCCAGCAGCGCACGTTCCATCGGCTCGGCGCTGTCCACGACGGCCGTCTTCTCCATGTCCCTCTCGTCGAATGACCTCCCGCTCCTGGCCGACTGGTGAAGCGACTGAGAGGCCTGCGACTCCCACCACCGGCGTAGGCAGGTCTGTCACCACTCAGCTGACTTCTTCGCCGCATTTGGGGGACCGGCAGATCACGGACTGTTCTTGGGGTTTCGGACCTCTCCGTTCTTCTGTGAGGATCTGATGAAGAAATGCACCAGGAAAGACGGGAGAGGCTGCCTATGGATGCGATCCACTTGTACAAGCTCGCACGGCGTGGGGTTCTGCTGCCGTGGGGTTCTGTTGCCTTTTCTCTTCCCCTTGTAGCCTTCTCTCCTCCCCTCCATTACCGCCGGCGCTGCATTCACTACGGCACGATCAGCATCGAAGAGCCCGGCTGTCGATAAGCTCATTCGCGGGCCTCGAAGACCGTCCTGGACGTCCTGCAGCACACACAGACGTCCAGCTACTCATACAGGCTCAGCGCCTATTGCCCGCCGTAGCTGCAGCACGTCCGTCTTGTCTTTTCCCTCCCATCCCATGTCGATATAGTATTGTGGGCGCCGAGGCGGCAGGAGCGTCGGACTGATGGAGAGCCAGGCGTCGCCCAGCATCATGACTGGCCCTGTCGCCACGGAATACCCCATGCCGATGAATGCGGAGGCACACCCGTACCTGCACCCGTTGTCGCACATAGTCAAGCGTAGGTATATACACCGGAGCGGAGGGAGCGTCGCTGCAGGTGGGCAGGGGAGTGCACGGGTTTGTTTGGCGAGTGCGTTGCATTGTCGTGGGCATGTCTGATGCGTGTGGTGTGTCTGTTTGCAGGTTGTGTTGTTAGCAAGAGGGATGAGACCGAGTGTGTGTCCTTCACGAGCATCGGCGGCACCTCTGCCCTCTTCTCGGGCATACAGAGCTGCATGCACACATCATCAGGTACCGCCCACCCACACACCACACCCACATACGCACACAACAACCTTTCCACATAGACACCACACACATCCATCTCTGTGGTTCCTCTGTCTGTTTGTCGTCTCGTCTCCCCCCAGACCCCCTGAGTATGTCGTTGCCTCCGTTCTTTCCCCCGTCCGACGTGCACGACCCCTCCCCCTTCATGCCGCCAGCCAGCAACTCACCATACGGCGCCAAGTCACCCGACCGCCACGCACGCGCGCACTCGGCTGTTTTC